CGAGGGAGCGTTCCTTTCATTCGTTCTACCATACCTACATGTATACACATGTTATTCATTTGAAACAATTTTAGTGTCAATGAGTTATATTTGAACTTTATAGTGATATGAAGATTCTTTTTTTGCCACTAATTATAACTGATCATCCCATTCGCCCAACCAGCAACCAGTTTCCCCCTACTTAACCATTTGGGTAGCATTTTCTAGCCATCTTAGCTAGTGGTATATTTCACAGCAGATCATAAAATGAGTTCGACAACAGAAAAACAAAGCCTTAAAAGCTTGGCCGAGGAAAGTAAACCAACCATTAAACCTACCGACAAACCACAAAACTAAAGTTCATGTTTCTTTTAGCACATCTTGCAACAGGAAAAGGGACACGTAGCGCATTGCAGCGGTATTACTACTATCTACAACAAGTCGAGAGAATCAATAGATTTTTGTGAGACCAATGCCTTGTATTTGGAATCTTTCCGGGGATTATTTTTGTGAGACCAGGGTTGATCAAAATAATACGGAGTAGATCATGAAGACGGAGTCTCCACCAAATATAAAGATATGGGCGTTCAGGAAAGGGAAAGTACTATATACACACATCCTATCAGTAGATAAATATTAAGAAGCACATCGCGCGCGGGCATCAAAAGATACGTTCAGTTCACTTGCATCCATGTGCGGTTAAATGGCCTTGACTCCCAAGTCTCGATCGATGGAACAATGTTTGTGCTAGTCAAACTGCTCAAAATCACATGTAAAGTCCTGCACGAAGACTATATTCTTTTTATTTACCAGAAGACTGAAATGAACATGATCAGCGATCCCACCTTATTTCTTATGCATGCTTGTTATTATGTCGCATATAGTATACTTTAAGATAAGTTCTTTTTAGCAGAGGAGTAAGTAGTATAATCAACTTTGATGTTTGAGACTGAGAAACTACATGCAGTACAGCCACCATCTCTCTACATATATAAGCCAGAAAAAGTACTGTCACGCCAACCATGCACGGAATGCAGAACTACATGTTCTCCCGAGGGTTTTCTTAATTAAGGAGAAAAGATCCAAGTGCCAAGATCAAGCCATTAGAGATCACTGAAAGACGATGATCGACAAGGCCGGAATTTCAAGAAAGATCCCAGTAAGTACAGATCTAGTAGTATTATTTTTGTAAGCTAGCTAGAGGCGTCCCTGCCGATCGATGGCTTTCGAATTTCTTTGTTCCAGTGGGTGTTCGATCCATTCCAGCCGAGGCCACGACTGACTGACGTGAGGAAGACACAGCCGCGCACACGTTAGCCAGGCTGAGCTGCTGGGAGCGATCCGCGTTTATCGAACACAAATCATTAATTATTACGTGCTTTGTTTATTGACGCTAAGCGCGTCCTGTGCGCTAAAGACGCCTCCAGACACGGGGCCTGGAATTTCTGCGGGCACACACTCTGTTCAGCGCGCGAGAGATAGTTAACATGATTTGAAGAGCATCGATCGACTAGAATAGAACATGTTTTACATGGCGTACGTAGAGTACAAATTCAGCATGATAGCGAAATTAAGGGAGATTATTCCAGTGGACTGGTCACTAGTAAGTTGGTTAGTTTGATTATGACAAGGAGTACTCGCTATAATGTCCAATAGTAGATGCTAATCCTTACCCCGCCGTCCAATATAATCTAGCCATTTTGTGATGCTATACCATGCTAATTTGCACTGTAAACCTAGCTTTCGGCTGCTGTGTCGACATGAGATAATACCGCAGAAGCACACTGTATAGCAGTATAACCAGTGACTTTTTTTTTGCGAGGGTCACCAGTGACTAATTGACTACTAATATAGCGCCATGTAGTGTTACCGAGCAGTGTCGTACTCCCTCCGTCGCAAAATAAGTGTCTCAACTGTGTACTAGCTCTAGTACAAAGTTATATTAAGCTTGAAACAATTATTTTGGGACGGAGAAAATACTTTGATACAATTATCGTCACTATATTTCGCGGTAATGATCGCGTAACTTTTTTTTGATCGATATAGTACGGCAAATCACGAATCAACCTTGAATGGTGGTTAGAGGACCCTGGTATCTTTAGCTCATCAGAGTTTAAATCCTGATACTCAAATTTCTGATTTATTTTAGAATTTCCAACGATGAAGATATGCCGGCTCAGTCTTCCGGATGTGCTTATACCATTTACAATCGTATATGACAAATATAACCCCTGAAATGCCTGCGACGCGTGCGTCTGTTGGCAGTGACCGGACACTCCTCAAATTAGCACAAGTGCATCCGGACATTTCATACTAGATTGTCAAATCCATAAAAAACATGCAAACTAAAAAAACTAGGTACTACGAGATGATCTAGCTACTCCTCATCGAAGATGTCGACTATCTCCGTGCCCGACTCCGGGTACATGGGCGGCAGCTGCAGCTCCGACGGCTCCGGCTGCTCCGCTCCGGCCTCCTCCTTCTCTATCTCCGCGCCGAGTTTGGCGAAGAGCGCGTCGGACGCCGACTGCTCCTGCCGGAGGAACTGCCGGTTGGCCTGCATATATGCCTCATCCTGGATGGACTCCAGGATGGCCCGCTGCTCCGCCATCTCCACGGCTTGGGCGACAACGAATTCCGCCTCCGCTTCCGCCATGTTGAACCCCGAAGCAGGCTGCTCCGCCTCGTCCTCCTCCGGATCCGCCACCTCCATTGGCTCCGGCAGGTGCTCTTCTCCTGCTCCTTCAACTGCTGCCCCTCCTCCTCCTTAGGCTTCAGAGAGTCCAAAGGCAGCCCGACAATGATGTAGGCGGCGCGCCTCGCCTAGATCTCCTCCGCGATTTGCCTCCGGCACTCCGGCATGAGCATAGCGTACGTGGCAATCTTGCGCCTGACCATGGCGATGCCAGAGAGCATGGAAGAACAGGGGAGAGGAGGTGAACGGGCTCGGTGGCGGCGCAGAGGTTGGGCTAGGGTTGGGGGCCGCCGGCCAGCTTAAATAGCCGAATTTGGCCTCGGGCAGCATGCCGGAGCGACGCCACACGACGTTCACACCGCGGCAACGGGGGAGGCGTCTGTCGAACCACCGTGTTTCCGGACGATTCCATGTGGGACCCCATCGCCAGTACTACGTGGCGGACACGTCCGGGCGCTCCCATCTCTTCCTCATATTTGGATTGGATATGAGGGGTGCCGGTGAGTCCGGACGTTTGAGGCGCCCGTCTGGGCTAGATTTTCGTGACCGAGCGGGATATTCGGGCGTTTGAGGCCGGTTTGAGGCGCCCGATTGTAGATGCTTTTATAGGGATAAGGTCTACGACTCTACGTGTGTGTTCGTAGGGATGAGTGTATCTGCGTATATATGAATGCGTGCGACTGTGTTCTTGGAAAAAATATAGTACGGCAATCGTGCTCAAACCGTGACGTGATTTTTACCGTGCAGCCCGGCCGGCCCGCCGCTTGTACTTAAAATTACCCCGGCACCCCTTGGCCCGTGCTGCGTTTGCGTGCGGAGAACACTTTGCGCCTGAGATGAAAGAGAAAGTCAGCGACCTGACCTCCCACCATCGTCCATGCATGTCTCTTCTCTCTCCAGAGGAGGAAAAGAACAGTGTCCACTCCCAGTGACTGCCGGCTTCCTCTCTCCTCGCGCCCCCTCAGCTCAGTCCCTCTCCCTCTCTCTATCGCACAGACAATTTTGTCCTCTAGGGAGCACCAGACCACACATGACACGCCATCTCCCACATCTCTCTCCACAAAAGACAGGCAGCCTGCAGCTGCACAGCCTTTCTCTCCCTCTCTCTCTCGTGTCATCTGCGTCGACCTCTCTCCGCAAAGCTAGCTAGCTCTTGAGTTCGTGTGAATTTGCCAAGCATAAAGCACGAGCTAGCTCTAGGCTGTCTTGCTGCCTACTTGGTATACTTCATATATACATACATACACACCAGAGAGGGAGAGAGAGAGAAAGAGAGAAAGGGGTAGTCATGTGCGACTACTTCTTGAAGAGGGTGGATGGCGACCAGCAGGCCGGAGACCTCACCGACATCGTCCGAGCTGGCGGGGCCATGCCGGCTGGCTCTGCCGATCCCCCGTCGTCGACGGCCACCGAGTGGCTGCAGCTGCCGACTGACCCGATCCTCTTCCCGCTGCCCCAGACGTCGTCCTCGGACGGTGCTGGGCCGAGCAGCGCAGACGCTCTCGGTGACCCGTTCTCCGGCCTCCCGGATGCCTTCAGCACCGACTACCCCTCCTCCTCCGGCAGCGCCGCCGCCGACTTCTTCGACGCCGTCCAGGACGCGATGGGTATCGGCATGGCCAAGCAGGTCGGCTTCGTCGACACGACCGGCTGCGGCGGCGGTGGAACAACTGTTCGTGCTGGTGGCAGGTTCCTGGACATGAGGAATCACCATATGTTTCCAAGGGAGATGCCGATGCGCGGGCTGTCGCCGTACGCGCTGATGGGCGGTGACGCGGCGAAGCTCGGCGGGCCGATGGCCGGGCACGGGGTGGCGGCTGGCCCGTGCGCGTTCGACGCCGTCGCAGGGCTGCAGATGTCGTCCTCACCGCGTGGCGGGGGCATCAAGCGCAGGTTCGGCACCGGCCATCGTTAGCTAGCTATCTGTTCAGTCAGATCTACACAAGTCCGCCTTAATTTCTTCGATTCCTCCCGACAAGTGCAATTAAGCACGGAGTTCCTTGTCGTGGGGGCACTGTTCAGGATTCGTAATTTAGGGAAAGTTTGCAGCTCCATTTCCTCCCACCGTGCTTAGTTTTTCCTCATTCTGCAACTCCCTAGAATGTAAGGATCGAGATGAAAGAAGAGAAATTAAATGCATGGCCAGTTTTGGGCTATGACAAAAACAGCAATATTTTGTAGGAGTAACAAGAAAAATAATACTTCTGATAGAAATTAACTCAATCTTTACATATACACCAGAATACATGATACCAAGACTATATCCCCCCCAGCTCCTAGTTATTACAGCAAACCCTAGTTTTCAGTTGCCTTCAGCTTTAGATGTTTAAGCGCATGTACTACTAGTCGCTCAAAACTGTGTGTGGATGCTGGATGGCAGTCTAAATTAAGGTGGTCTTGTGTTTGATGCAGGAAGAACCAGGCAAGGAAGGTGGTGTGCATCCCAGCACCTGCAGCAGCAGTGGCCGGGAAGACCACTGGGGAGGTTGTTCCTTCTGATCTCTGGGCTTGGAGGAAGTATGGCCAGAAGCCTATCAAAGGCTCCCCCTACCCAAGGTACGACATGGAGCACCCCATTAATCTCTCTCTGCTGGTATTGGTATATAGCTTCATCTCTTTCACTCAGTCTCTCTAGCTCTCTTCTGCTCCATGCATGTAGAGTATATATCAGGCCAGGGTATGTGTGCCTGTAATAATTATGGCGATCATGTAATCATAGTAAGAGCATGCAGGCTCAAACTCACATAGATTCTCCTCCTCAACGAGGAGAGAAAACACTCTAACACATGTATACCTCTCCTTTTCGTAACATTTCTATCTGGCTAGTTGCAGAAGAATATGATAAGCTAGCTTGCATCTATATATTCCAACCGGCAAGTGGGGAAGCTAGTACCGCATTGAACTGTTATGTTTTCTTTTTCTGTTGGAGTTGTATTTATTACTTTGTCCTTTCAACTTGACATCTCCAGTTTAACTGTACAGTTCAAACAATGTTTATAGTGCATTCAAGTAGGCTCACACTTTCATATTGCTTCCTCACCACAAGGATTATGTGTTGGGCTGACCAAATAAACCGACCGAAGCTAATTATATGGAGATTTTCTTCATAGACATTCATCAACCTTTGTGGTGCTTCAAGTTTAGTATGAAATTAGTTTGTCCTATTTAAAGTTAATGTAGGTGTAGGAAAAAGTTTGACCCATGCACAGTTATAAGAAGCTTAGATTGGAAATTATATAGGACCTTGCTTACTACTTTGTCAAACTAACTCAATATTCCATTCATCCAAAATATACACAAGATAACTAACCATTGAATTAATAATTTTTTAGTTGGTGGCTACATCTGGCATGCATATGCTTACACGGCTCTTTTGTAAGACGTGGTTCATCAACAACCGAAACTAATCAACTTTCCTAGTATTGGTTGAAACTAATCTGTTTAAAATTAACAGATATGAAATGATTAAGTTCGGGAGGTTGGGGACACTCTTGACACCATGTGTATACATCCGAAATTCTTAACACATCCTTTTGCAACTTCATTTTTTAATTTTTTATCATGACATAATTGCAATACATTTTAAATTATATTTTGGTTAAAATAAATCAATATCTAAATGACACAGGCAGGTGGTATTGTTTATCAAGGAATTGACGTTCCATTTGCCTAAAAAATGCATACCACAATGTCAAAATTTACACATACCCGGCCGTTTCAGATACAAATAGTTCTGCGCTCTTTAGCCTTTTCATTTTTACTCTTATTAAAGTACCTCTCATATGGCAATGCATTTTTAGTCCTCTGTCAATGCCATAAAAACAGTGCTATTTTTTCACAGGGAATAAAAATAGAGCTATTTAACTCCTCTTGTACTTGCATATACCTTCTTTTCCAATTTTAGTTGGATTGCGTGATGGAGGAAATGTTTTTAATTCTTTAATGTTTATATGGTTTTAATGAACTTAGTACTATATGTTTGTTAGTTGCATCCATGATGTTCTGTGGAAAGTTTGAAACACTTTATGATGCACTTCAGCAAATGGGGATATCAGTGTGCCGGCCCCTGGTATCAAACAATTCCCAGTGATGTAACTAGGGTGTGGTAGTACATATCATATGCTGTGGAATCCACAATAGATTTCTGACGAAACTTTCTACCATGCATTGCATGTTCAGAGGGTACTACAGATGCAGTAGCTCCAAGGGGTGCCCTGCACGGAAGCAAGTGGAGCGCAGCCGGACGGACCCCAACATGCTGGTCATCACCTACACCTCGGAGCACAACCACCCGTGGCCGACGCAGCGCAACGTGCTCGCCGGCTCCACGCGGTCCCACTACGCCAAGAATAGCAGCAGCAACACAGCTGCAGCTGCGTCCAAGAACAGCAAGAACTGCTCGCGCAATCAGCACAAGCCAGTCGTCAAGGCAGAATCAAAGGATCAATCCGCCGCTACCCCGGCCGCCACGAGCACGACCACCACGGCGACCACAAGCACCGGCAACAACACACCTCCCATGACTGTGAAAGAGGAGGCAGAAATGGAGAGAAGGATAGGCGGTGATACTACAGCAACGGTGGGTTATTACAGTGATCATCTCCTGCAGCAGATGTTCAGCCAGAGCTACAGGCCGATGATGCCCGAGGAGGCCGGCGGCTACCACCACCAGGACGACTTCTTCGCTGACCTCACTGAGCTGGACTCCGACCCTGTCAGCCTCATCTTCTCCACGGAGTACATGGAGGCCAGACCTGGCAAGGAGAAGGCAGCAGCCAAGGACGACGTGGATTCATTATTCATGATGGACTGGGCGCCCGCTAGTGCTGCTGTTACTACTTCTGCAGGGAGCGCACTTGAGCAAGGGGACATGGGTTTATGAGTTTTGACGTCAATTAGTTACCTTAAAACATACCAGGCTTGCATCGATGTGCAAATGCAAACACCACACTTGAGGACATCTCTAGCTAGATATAGGCTTGAAATAACCTTAATGATAACAGGAGCAAGAAAAGGAAAGTATGGTTTTCCCCCTCTCTCTTTACTTTTTATATTAGTTATTACACACTGCGTGCTCCTCCCTGATGTGTTATTGAGTATGGTTTTGATGAAGATGATCTAGTATATAGTACATTTTTTTCTTGGTACATTTACATAGTAGGAGGTAAGACAAACAGTCTTTCAAATGGAAACTAATAGAGAACCGGCCTAGACGGTTTTCGGTGGCTTCTCGTTCTTCAGAATATGAAGAACATGGACTTGTTTCTTGTTAATTATTCATGTTTAGAAGAACCCGGAGTCCACACTATGATTTTGAGAGATTTTCTGAGTTTATCTTCGTGCTTCCAGACAGAGTATGTCGAATGTGGGTGCATGGATGAAAGTGTTACCGAGAGCTTAGTTAATGGAGTTATAGTTGCTCATCTATATTGTACATATGAAGAACAACAATGTATGTCACTATTGTAGGCCTGTTTTTGGCCTACACTTCAACATTTGGTGTTTGTCTACTTTCTGAAGAGCGCAATGGACGATTATGGGGAACAATGGGAGGCTTTGTTGTATTGGTGGGACGTCTTCAATTCAGCCTCGGCGCTTGAGGACCATGAGCCCCCTCATGATGTTGTTGACAGTTATGTGCAACCAAACTATGATCCCAGTGACGATATCAGTTGTGAGCAATGCAAGGTTGAAAAGTGTAACATTAGTTCGATCATGTTCTTCGTGTGTGCAATGATGGCAGTGACACCGGGAGGAGGTTTGTAGGGTGCCATTTGAGGTTAATAATTTTCTTACTTTGTTGACCCCCCACCCCCACCCCCAATCTATAATGTGTACTAATTTTTTCTTGGGATTCGGTGCATGCGGTTATGGGCCAGTTCTTTTGCAGATTACTGTGAAAATAAGCTAGAAGCCCAAAAGAGCTCGTAGCTCATTTGAGGGGGGTGTAGGGGAACGTTGCAGAAAATAAATTTTTTTACGCTTCACCAAGATCAATCTATGGAGTCTTCAAGCAACGAGAGAGAGGATTGCATCTACATACCCTTGTAGATCGCGCGCGGAAGCGTTCAAGAGAACGGGGTTGAGGGAGTCGTACTCGTCGTGATCCAAATCACCGGAGATCCTAGTGCCGAACGGACGGCACCTCCGCGTTCAACACACGTACGGTTGGGAAGACGTCTCCTCCTTCTTGATCCAGCAAGGGGGAAGGAGAGGTTGATGAAGATCCAGCAGCACGACAGCATGGTGGTGGATGCAACAGCGATCTCGGCAGGGCTTCGCCAAGGTTCAGCGAGAGGGAGAGGTGGTGCGTGGGGAGAGGGAGGCGCCAGAGACTTGGGGTTCGGCTGCCCTTCCTCCCCCCTCTTTATATAGGCCCCCTGGGGGGGGGGGGCGCCGTCCCTAGGAGATGGGATCCCCAAGGGGGGTGGCGGCCAAGGGGGTGGCTTGCCCCCCAAGGCAAGTGGAGGCGCCCCCCATCCCTAGGGTTTCCAACCCTAGGCACAGGGGGGCCCAAGGGGGGGCGCACCAGCCCACCAGGGGCTGGTTCCCCTCCCACTTCAGCCCATGGGGACCTCTGGGATAGGTGGCCCCATCCGGTGGTCTCGGTACAATATCGTGACCCCCGAAACTTTCCCGATGGCCGAAACTGCACTTCCTATATATAATTCTTCACCTTCGGACCATTCCGGAACTCCTCGTGACATCCGGGATCTCATCCGAGACTCCGAACAACTTTCGGGTTACTGCATACTCATATATCTACAATCCTAGCCTCTCCGAACCTTAAGTGTGTAGACCCTACGGGTTCGGGAGACATGCAGACATGACCGAGACGCCTCTCCGGTCAATAACCAGCAGCGGGATCTAGATACCCATGTTGGCTCCCACATGCTCCTCGATGATCTCATCGGATGAACCACGATGTCGAGGATTCAATCAATCCCGTATACAATTCCCTTTGTCAATCGGTACGTTACTTGCCCGAGACTCGATCGTCGGTATCCCAATACCTCGTTCAATCTCATTACCGGCAAGTCACTTTACTCGTACGTAATGCATGATCCCGTGACCAGACACTTGGTCACATTGAGCTCATTGTGATGATGCATTACCGAGTGGGCCCAGAGATACCTCTCCCTCATACGGAGTGACAAATCCCAGTCTCGATTCGTGCCAACCCAACAGACACTTTCGGAGATACCCATAGTGCACCTTTATAGTCCCCCAGTTACGTTGTGACGTTTGGCACACCCAAAGCACTCCTACAGTATCCGGGAGTTGCACAATCTCATGGTCTAAGGAAATGATACTTGACATTTGGAAAAGCTCTAGCGAAACGAACTACACGATCTTTGTGCTATGCTTAGGATTGGGTCTTGTCCATCACATCATTCTCCTAATGATGTGATCCCGTTATCAATGACATCCAATGTCCATAGTCAGGAAACCATGACTATTTGTTGATCAACGAGCTAGTCAACTAGAGGCTCACTAGGGACTTGTTGTGGTCTATGTATTCACACATGTATTACGATTTCCGGATAATACAATTATAGCATGAACAATAGACAATTATCATGAACAAAGAAATATAATAATAACCGTTTTATTATTGCCTCTAGGGCATATTTCCAACAGTCTCCCACTTGCACTAGAGTCAATAATCTAGTTACATTGTGATGTATCGAACACCCATTGCGTTCTGGTGTTGATCATGTTTTGCTCTAGGGAGAGGTTTAGTCAACAGATCTGCTACATTCAGGTCTGTATGTACTTTACAAATATCTATGTCTCCATCTTGAACATTTTCACGAATGGAGTTGAAGCGACCCTTGATGTGCCTGGTCTTCTTGTGAAACCTGGGCTCCTTGGCAAGTGCAATAGCTCCAGTGTTGTCACAGAAGAGTGCGATCGGCCCCGACGCATTGGGTATGACTCCTAGGTCGGTGATGAACTCCTTCACCCAGATAGCTTCATGAGCTGCCTCCGAGGCTGCCATGTACTCCGCTTCACATGTAGATCCCGCCACCACGCTCTGCTTGCAACTGCACCAGCTTACTGCCCCACCATTCAAAATATACACGTATCCGGTTTGTGACTTAGAGTCATCCAGATCTGTGTCGAAACTACTGTCGACGTAACCCTTTACGACGAGCTCTTCGTCACCTCCATATACGAGAAACATATCCTTAGTCCTTTTTAGGTACTTAAGGATGTTCTTGACCGCTGTCTAGTGTTCCATGCCGGGATTACTTTGGTACCTTCCTATCAAACTTACATCAAGGTTTATATCAGGTCTGGTACAGGTCATGGCATACATGATAGACCCTATGGCTGAGGCATAGGGGACGACACTCATCTTTTCTCTATCTTCTGCCGTGGTCGGGCATTGAGCCGAGCTCAATTTCACACCTTGCAACACAGGCAAGAACCCCTTCTTGGACTGATCCATATTGAACTTCTTCAATATCTTATCAAGGTATGTGCTTTGTGAAAGACCCATGAGGCATCTCGATCTATCTCTATTGATCTTGATGCCTAATGTGTAAGCAGATTCTCCAAGGTCCTTCATTGAAAAACACTTATTCAAGTAGGCCTTAATGCCGTCCAAAAGTTCTATATCATTTCCCATCAAAAGTATGTCATCCACATATAATATGAGAAATGCTACAGAGCTCCCACTCACTTTCTTGTAAACACAGGCTTCTCCATAAGTCTGCATAAACCCAAACGCTTTGATCATCTCATTAAAGCGAATGTTCCAACTCCGAGATGCTTGCACCAGCTCATAGATGGAGCGCTGGAGCTTGCATACCTTGTTAGCATTCTTAGGGTCGACAAAACCTTCCGGCTGCATCATATACAGTTCTTCCTTAAGGTGACCGTTAAGGAATGCCGTTTTGACGTCCATTTGCCATATCTCATAATCATAGTATGCGGCAATTGCTAACATGATTCAGACGGACTTCAGCTTCGCTACGGGAGAGAATGTCTCATCGTAGTCAATCCCTTGAACTTGTCGATAACCCTTAGCGACAAGTCGAGCTTTATATATGGTAACATTACCATCCGCGTCCGTCTTTTTCTTAAAGATACATTTGTTTTCTATTGCTCGCCGATCATCGGGAAAGTCTGTGAAAGTCCATACTTTGTTTTCATACATGGATCCTATCTCGGATTGCATGGCTTCAAGCCATTTGTTGGAATCTGGGCCCACCATTGCTTCTTCATAGTTCGAAGGTTCACCGTTGTCTAACAACATGATTTCCAGGACAGGGTTGCCATACCACTCTAGTGTGGAACGTGTCCTCGTGGACCTATGAAGTTCAGTAGTAACTTGATCCGAAGTACCTTGATCATCATCATTAATTTCCTCTCTAGTCGGTGCAGGCACCATAGGAACATCTTCCTGAGCTGCGCTACTTACTAGTTCAAGAGGTAGTGCTTCATCAAGTTCCACTTTCCTCCCACTTACTTCTTTCGAGAGAAACTCTTTCTCCAGAAAGGACCCGCTCTTGGCAACAAAGATCTTGCCCTCGGATCTTAAGTAGAAGGTATACCCAATGGTTTCCTTAGGGTATCCTATGAAGACACATTTTTCCGACTTGGGTTCGAGCTTCTCAGGTTGAAGTTTCTTGACATAAGCATCACATTCCCAAACTTTTAGAAACGACAACTTAGGTTTCTTTCCAAACCATAATTCATACGGTGTCGTCTCAACGGATTTAGACGGTGCCCTATTTAAAGTGAATGTAGCTGTCTCTAGAGCGTATCCCCAAAATGATAGCGGTAAATCGGTAAGTGACATCATAGATCACACATATCCAATAGAGTGCGATTACGACGTTCAGACACACCGTTACGCTAAGGTGTTCCAGG